TATGGCAACAATATACGGCAATAATATATGGCAACAATATATGACAACAATATATGGCAATAATATATGGCCATAATGTATGGCAATAATTCATGGAATATATTTTCGTTTCAAAAGTCAATGCAAATTTGCGGCATGCACAATGTAATAATAAAAGAGCTCTCTGCGAGCATTGAGTCAAACGCTCACCGATGATGATATTGGTGATGTCCCGTTGCATCCAACCAGATCCACCAATGTCCGCCCATGTCCGCTGCCGCTCTCCATGTCGCGCAGCATCCATCTTGCAGCGCATCCCACGTTGATTGCTAGACTTTCGCTAGACTTCCGCGACGCGGTCGATATTTGTATTAGAGCGGCGATATTTGCGTCAATTGACGAACGTTTTACGTCGACATCGGTGGAAACTTTTTACGCGCTGCGAGACGGATTCTACAAACTCGATCGGCGAGGAGCAAAAATCATGTGAAAATTTATCGACTCGTCCAACGGATTTTTACGGCGCTTTTCGCGATCGCGTCTGAAAAATCGCGAAAATGCGGGAGTATCGATATTTACGAGCGAAATATTCGCGAATGCACGCGAGGAAAAATTAGACAATTAGAAATCGACCCGAGGGAGCGCAAAGAGAGAGAGAGAGAGAGAGAGAGAGCGGGGCAAAGTTTTTACGCATGATAGTTTCGTCACGACGAAGCTTACGTTCGCGATACTTTGACGAAATGAAAATTTAAACTTTCTTTGTTAGCGCGGTAAAAACGCGTATATTGATAACCGCGATATTCAAAGGCACGCGAGCGAGGATACCTCAAGCTCGGCGTGCGCTGGCGCAATTTCTGCGCGCATTATACGCTACTCGAGACAATAGGGATCGTGATGAATGGACAATATTGCCAAATAATTCTACAGCCTGTTTTGCAAATAAAAGAAAAGTAGCCAACGGTATCGGGATTTATGCGTATGAATATATTTTACACAATTGAATTATTTGACGACAATTATTTGACAATTGAATATTGTCAAATAATTGTCGTTAAGTAATTTTACGGCCCGCTTGAAAAATGAAAATAAAATAGCTGATGACCGTATCGCGCTTGTAGATATGAATATCTCTTATTTAGATGACTGAATATCAAAAGAGAATCATTCGATATTTTAAATCTCGAATGTAATGCAGGCTATCGATGAAATAATCCCCTGATTGTTTCGAGCAATGTATTTTATTCAACGTTACAAACACACACATGCAAGAATCTATTTGCAATTTGCATTGACTCGAACGATATTTTTTAGACCCACATCCGTCATGCAGAATTTTCTCTTTTCTTCTTCTTTTTCAGAAGTTTCTCTTTTCATTTTGACTCACCGAAACGACTTGCAGTCAGAGCCGGCCACGTTCCGCTTCAACTCTGTAACAAAAAATTCACATTTGCTCATCAGATCAGACCAACAAGTGCGGACGAGTAAAAGAGTAGTTTACCCTCTGCGATCGTAATTCAACTCGAGCCGGAAATTATATCCCAGCTCTAGATCGCTCAGGGTCTATACAACAGAGGACTATAATAAACTTGTAAACTTACCTTCAAGCCGACTCTGCTTGGCCCGAATCGGATCCTCCGATGCGGCATCCGGATCCGCCGGATTGCTGTTGCTTTCCGCAACAACTGAAACAGAAAAATAATTTTCGGTTGATAACCTGCGGTAGAGAGAGAATATCTTTGATCGGGACGAATCGAAAATACGGAAATATTTTGATACGGAATTTTTATCTTTATATTTTTGTTTCAACATTGAAAATTTAAATGAGACTTGAAGCTGATTCAAGAGAGTTGATGAGGAACAAGTTGCATAGGCAAAGATCGTAAAGGGTTGAACACAGATGTGTAGGAAACTTGTGAACTTTACCTTCCGACCGACTCTGCTTGGCCCGAACCGGATCCTCCGGTACTGCATCCGCGTCCGCCGGATTGTTGTTGCTTTCCGCAACAACTGAAACAGAGAAATAATTTTCCCGGTTGATAACTTGTGGTAGAGAGAGAATCTTGTGGTAGAGAGATATCTTTGATCGGGACTAATTGAAAATACGGGAATATTTTGATACGGAATATTTATCTTTATATTTTTGTCTCAACATTGAAAATTTAAATGAAACTTGAAGCTTTCAAGAGAGCTGATGAGGAACAAGTTGCAAAGGCAAAAATTGTAAAGAGTTGAATACAAATGTGTAGGAGACTTGTAAACTTTACCTTCCGTCCGACCCTGTTCTACCCGAACCGGATCCTCCGGTGCGACATCCACGTCCCCCGGACTTGCTTCCCGCAACATCTGAAACAAAAATTTAACGTTCTTGGTTGGTAAGCTGCGGTAGAGAAAGAATGTTTGGTCGGGATGAATGGAGAATATTCGCTACGGTTTTTTTTCTTCATTGACATTGAAAATCTAGATAGGACTTGGAGCTCTTGAAAGAGCTGACGAAAAAAAATGACAACAAGAAGCGGAGACAACACTTGTGTGTGCTCTCGAAAATATTCTTTTACGAATGGACATTTAAATTTAGATTCCGTAACGAGAGTAAACAGACTTGAAAGAAGCGCTGACCGAAAACAAAAAAGGTCGCAGTCTAAGAAGCGGTATGACGTAGAACATTCTACACAAGACCAGTATACTCACACATTTGGGAATTATTCAGAATATTTGATTGAGAATATGATGAATTAGAGATCCGCGTTCATGGACCGTTATCCGTCTCTGTCTGTATCAATATCGCTTGTATATAATAACGCAATAATTAAATAGACAGACAGAGATTGACGAGAGTAATTGCAGATTCATAAAGTCATGATTACTAATCGGATGACGACGGATCGTGAATGTCGAGCGCGAAATTCCGACTTCTTATTCCCGGAAAATTCGTCAAACGTCCGCTCTCGTTATCAGAGACCTCCCGCATAATAAATGATTCCACATACCTAGAAATGTGACGTATCGCTTCCGGCGTCTTGCTTCCCGGCTGCTGGAGTCCTCCGGATTTCACTCACTCACACTTCTAATGTCGATACTCGCGATTCGACCGTGCGGTTAATCAACGTGATGCCGATTGAGTATCTCGAGGACCGACGAGATACATTTCTTTCAATTACGACGGAGTTCAAGACGGAAGTGACGAGTGCGTCGCGCACGGCTGCTGCTGATGGAATGAGATCGAGTACGCGAGACGCGCGAGGATTAATACGAAGGGCAAAAAATGTCGTCGCTCGCGAGCCGATCAACACAATCGGCGCGATGTAAACATTGCGGGCCTCGGCGGTGGTTGAAGCAAGAGAGACTTGCCCTTGAGCGTCTCTTCTTTTCTCGAAGGTTCCGGAACGACGAGGGGAATGCGAGGAGACCTTTTAACTGTACGCGACATTGATGTACTTTTTTTTTTCATTACTGAAAATAAAGAAAATTACTCTGTCGAAGCATCGGACATTTGTTAGCTTTATGTTAATTAAAGAGGAATGTGTACGATTAGGAAATGTGTTAGCAACTAATTGTACAAAGTGTCAAAGTTATTGTGACGCCGTTTTCGGAGAATAATTAAAGGTCATGGTAGTATTAAAGAGTGGAATTTCATCCCATGCGAATTTTGTCTCGTTCTTATTAAATGTTAGATTATCCGCTGCGGACAATAACTCTTCTACTTTTCATCTAATATTCAATGATGATAAATCACATTTAATTGCATTCGTTTGACCTTTTTTATTTCGAAAATAATACCAAAAAAATATATACCAAGGTGAGATTTCACCCATGACAATATGATTTTCATCAACGTGATTTTCTTTGATGCTTCTTTTAAAAGTTCAGATATTTCGTCGACTCGCGGGATATTTATAATCGGAGTCTCGTCGCGTTAATTAACATGTGCTCCTCTGAGCGGATCGAATGCTCACCGACGGCCACTGTCAGTGCCACGAGCGAATGTCCGGAGCGGACGGGATGTTGAATTGAGAAGCAGGACGAAGGGAACGGGACGCGAGCAACGATACATCATGCGTCTCCAAACGTGTCAAATCGTTTATTATATAGGAGAATCTCACAAAACAATATGGGACTTTTATGTTTGTTTTAAACCAATCTACCTTCACACTTCGGCTTGGCAGCTTATTACTGGACACGTGTATATTTAATTTAAACATAATATTATGTTAATGTATTAAAATATTTTATTGGGTAGTGCGTATTTTTTCATAACATTTTTTATAACTATGTAATACTAGTGTATGCGTATGTTCATTATAATATATATAATGTTTAATATTATAATCATTATTAGTATCGCACGATATTTAATTTGAACTTAATATGTTAATGTATTCGAAGATTTTATATTTAATATGTACTTTCATCTTCCTGCTCTTCCCCCATCTCCCCCTCTTTTTAGATCTACGGATATAGTCTGGCATAGAGATGGTAATAGTTATGATTGCAGCATGGACATAAATCGCCTGAAAGTGGATGTAGCATCGTAGTTTCCCTCTCAAAATGGATGCAGATGGCGTCCTTTCCCAGTGCGGAAAGTCGGTATCGCAGAAAATGCCATGTTGGCCGCTTTCAGGTTTCTGGTAATATAAAAATTGACAGCCCTGGGTAAATTTTCGTACCAATCAGGGGGGCCCGAGGGCTTGGAGGTAATTGAAGAGCAATGATAATACTGATTGCTTTAGCTACGTTCATGATAATACAGCTAACAACTATTGCCGGTGCGAGGCGAAGGGTAAGTCATGTTTTATCTCGCTTAGGTCGCTCGACGCACGCTGCCAACAGTTGCTAAATCGACTAGGTCACGCTGTGACCCGAACGGCTGCGCACTTCTCCAATCATTCATCCCAGCGCGCGCTTACTCGTTAGAATTCTGTAATTAATAACTGCTCAACTGTTAAGAATATCACAAAATGGTATGGGACTTTTATGTTCTCTCTGGTACGTTAAATTCCGTAAGACCAACAGTCTTTATAGTATCTCGTCAGTGACATTGGCTACGTAGTTTATGTTCATAAAGTGAACATAGAGGCGCTTCAAAAGCGTTATGGGAAAATCGCTATTACCGCTCTTTGGTTTCTCTCTGGTTAGAGTTATATGCCTCGAAAATTTAGTGAACTTTAATATTTACTGGATGAAACTGTAAAGGTAAAAATTGAACGTCAAAATATTGAGAAAATAATTAATATTGTATAAAAAAAGAGTAGAATGAAATGTCCATTTATTGATTTTTCGACGCCATCTATTCTATTCAGAACGCTAAACATAACCTATATATTCGATCACGTTTGTATTTGTTTCTGATCTTTTTTTCCAGGGCACATGGGTGGCTCAAAACGTCGCAAATCGCGTACGACCGGACCGGTTGATAACGCATGGTCGTTAAAAATACCACAATTCAAGAAGGAGGATAATCCTCATCGCTTGCTAGAAGAGAGCTCATTCGCGACTTTATTCCCAAAATATCGGGAGCAATATTTAAAGGAACATTGGTCATTGATTCAGAAAGCGCTGGAAGAGCATGCCATTACGGCCGAACTTGACCTTGTCGAAGGTAGCATGACAGTGAAAACTACCAGGAAAACATGGGATCCATATATCATCATCAAAGCACGCGACATGATCAAACTCCTGTCACGATCGGTTCCTTATGAACAGGCGATGAAAGTTCTTCAAGATGAGATTTCTGCTGACATTATAAAAATATCTTCCTTAATCAGGGACAAGGAAAAGTTTGTCAAGAGGAGGCAAAGACTCATTGGACCAAATGGAAGTACTTTGAAAGCTATTGAGCTGCTCACCAACTGTTATGTTTTAGTTCAAGGGCAGACTGTAGCAGCATTAGGTCCTTACAAAGGTCTCCAGCAAGTGAGGCGAATAGCGGAAGATACTATGAAAAACATTCATCCTATTTACAATATCAAGGCATTAATGATCAAAAGAGAACTTGCCAAGGATCCAAAGCTAACTAATGAAAATTGGGATCGATTCTTGCCTAAATTCAATAATAAGAACATAAACAAACGCAAACAACCGAGAAAAAAGAAAGAGAAGAAACCATATACTACATTCCCGCCACTTCCACAAGAAAGTAAACTTGATAAACAGATAGCAACTGGCGAATACTTCTTGAATGAGGAGCAGAAGAGAGCAAAGAGAAAGAAGGAACAAGATGCTAGGCATGAAGAGGCAACTAAGAGAAGACAGGAACGTAGAGCTCAAGCATTTGTCCCACCTGAAGAAAAACCTGTTGAAAATAAAATAACAAAAACTGAAATAGACATTAAAGAAATAAAAAAGAAAGTTGAAAAAGGACTGAAGAAGGTTCAATATAACACAAAACTAGACTAGAAATAGATATATTTGTTATATATGTCACATAAAGGTTTTTATTTATATAACAAAGTCAAATTTTTATACATTCACTTATACATATATTGTAACACTATTATGTTTTATGCTTCTTCAGTACTTTCTCAACTTTCTTTTTTATTTCTTCAACTTTTTTCAAATTCAAATTTTTTTATTTCAGTTTTTGTTACTTTGTTTTCAACAGGTTGAAAACGAGTTCAACAGGGTGAACCTGTTGAAAATAAAGTAACAAAAACTCAAATAGACATTGAAAAAATAAAAAAGAAAATTGAGAAAGGACTGAAGAAGCATAAAACAAAAGTGTTATAATATATGTATAGTGAATGTATAAGTGAATGTAAAAAAAAGTGAATGTATGTATAAGTGAATGTATAAAAATTTAACTTTGTTATATAAATAAAAACCTTTATGTGACATATATCACAAATATCTATTTCTAGATTAGTTTTGTGTTATATTGCACCAGAAAATTAATAAAATATGTCTCAATTAGCAAAAAGAGGATATATAGATACAGCTTATGGTTGTGACGATACTTTTTATGTTAGTATTTATTTGCGATAAAATATCAAAGGTTAATAGTTATATAAAAATAAAGAAAAAGTTTGAGGAAAATGATCAAAGCTGCTTAATGTTAAATTATTAAAAAAAAGTAATAGAATGATGAAAGATCAATGCAAACTGATATAAAGAAAATATGTGAACCTATAATATAATTACAAGCGAAATTGCTTTAACATGACATGACAGACAAATAGAAGAGTTATAGCGATAGTGAAAAGTATCATGTTCAATGTCAAGTAATATTCTCTAGAAAATATTAAAATGTATCACCACGTATGTTTCAACCGTCATTGATGATATATATATCTCATATTTTATTGATAGAATTCTGCTATGGTTGTATTATGATCGCAAAATATTAATTTACCAGGAATGTCCCGTTATTTTATTAGAAACACTCGTTTTTATAATTACTGTAGTATCGCATTCTTAACACATACATATGTGTATATTTATATATAATTATTTTACATTTGCAAAATATAGAGCAGAGAAAATTTCAATGTTTAGCATTTTGAAGACAAATATACCGATATATAGAATTTATTATATGTACAATTTTTTTGTAACGATATTTGTATTTACTAAATATATTACATAGAATTCTTCGGATATTTTAAATAAATCTCGAAACAATATTTATTTTTTGAGTTTTCTAAAAGTATATAACGTTATTTTTACATTATTATTAACCATAATCTTCTCTTTCAACTTCTACTTTCGATTCTCTGTTTTTGATGAGGATTCTTTACACGACAGCTAAGTATATAAAGTCTTCAACATGCTAATATTTTGTGTGATTCGATGCAATAGCGATTTCAAATTCTATCGCAAAACTACTGTAATTGAAAAGAAGCGGATACTAAACTGGGGCGCTGAATTATTTCTCCAGGTTCGAGAAATTCTTTCTTGTCGAGCAAAATATCAGATTAACACGTACACACACACACACACACACACATACACACACACACACACACATATATATACACATACATACATATATGTGTGTATGTGTGTGTATATTTGATAGATTAAATGTTCATTCAATGTACAGCGATCTTATTCTATCTGCACCACAATTTCGCTTTCCGAGTACAAATTTTCGTATTACTGGACACACGAATTATTAACACTGATTAGTTACCGCTATCTTAAGATTAAGATCGATTTGCCTATTATATTACAATGTTACCGATCTTGGAAGTACGACGTGTCTCGTTAGCTTATATCTATACTTATGCCACGTGAATACATTTATGTACAGATAGACGAATATGGTTGTGTGTGGCGATTTTGCTTACATGAGAAATGCACGAAAGCGATGGATAAGTATTGACGCATACTGATAGCAAAACACGCTACTTGAAATCGTTAGGACGGGAGGGAGATAATTAATTAATGGAATATGTATAATTACATTTACAACGCGACAAAATTTAGTCATCACTCCAAAATATTCTGCACACCTGCATTTATATATGCACGCTGGAACACATTCTGTATTCCAAATGCATGTTTCTCGCTCTTATTTGCGATTTCTTTGAACCAGGATAACTTTCCTTAATAAATATGTTGCTACACCAACAGCATCTACTGACTGTTTACATGCGGCAATATTTTGTTTTTTGATTACTATCAAAAGGACTAAATTCACAAAACTTTAGTAGCAAACGTAATTGCCAAGGTGTTTGATATTAAAAGTTAAATATTTCGTTAATTAAGCTCCAAATCACTTCCGAGGCTGGGAGTAAAGTCTACTAGTATCTGGAAACAAAGTTCTCCGTTATCTACGCACTCCCGCAGCCTTTACGGGGCGGGATCCTTTAATTCCAATGTTAACTAACTCCGTAATGAGAGCTTCCTTTCAATCTCTCGGACTAAAGGAAAGTTGACTCGAAATCCTTCAAAGAATCTGCAACCGAAAGGAAGCGCGATAATGATACGTAGGGATATCCTATGTATATATTTACTATCTACGTATATATCGCCGGCGTAGCCGGTGTCCTGATTAAAGGAAGAACGTTTTAAAGAGGCAGCCCCCTTCTCACGATGCTATAACAAGAATCGCTGATTTCCTTAACATTTTGATTCTCAGAAGCAGCTTGAGATTACATACAATGTCGCGTTGTAATCGCACTCGTTTAATTAGGACACAGTCGTATTATTAATGAGTCGCGCATGATATATCTACATCGAAATATCATTAACTTACGGCCTATGTAAAATATCAATATAAAAAAAATCACCTAACGGATGTTTACATACTTCTTTAGCAGCTAGCTATAAAGCTAGCTATAGCTGAATGTGTGATATAAGGATGCCAGTGTATTATACAAAAGTTTATACGATAATGTTATTCGTCTCGCTTCGGCATTTATAGTATCAGCGCGAGGCGACGGCAGTAAGACATCGTCAGAAAGTATAAGTGTACAAAAGATCGCTTCTGCTATATGTAATGTTATATTAGTCGCAACTTCCACTTTAATTCACTTAACACGTTGTAGACGAATAATGGACGATGTTCCATTTTACTTCCGACTCGATCAAATGTTTCATATTCTTTTCTACTCTACTTAATGTCGATTCAACCTTGCACGAGGAATAACAATTTTTTTCACGTTTAACTATCACATTCGGGCTGAATCAAAGTTGTTCCTCTATATTTCATCGCAAGGTTTCTCACTCTCTGCCAAATTTTTTTTTTTCCAATTCACTGTCGCAACATTATTACTGAACTACAATATGTTAAGTATACTGATACCAGTTATTCCACGCTTTTCGCCTATTCGCACAACCAAGTAAGTATACGATTAGTTACAAAAATAAGTCTCTTTTTCTGCGATTCATAGCGCGTGTTTTTGATGGAAAAGCGTTTTGTTCGCCGCGGTTCGTCGTTTGATTGCGGAGAAGAGTCTCTGGCGCGTTTAGGCGCGCCGCATATATACTAAGACCAGATAAAAAGAACATACGCTGCCTGCGTGTGATTTTGGGCTCGACGAAAATAGCGACGTCAATAAGAAGCATCTCATGCCGTACCACTCACAATCGTATGTAAATCGAAATCAAGGCATGAATGTCTTAATTTTCCAATTGGCCCTTTAGCGTTGAATTAAAGAACATTTTGCAAAACTCTCGAAGTTTGCGTTGTGTTGTCTTTTTTAACTTCATATATTAAATTGTGCGATGCAGAGCGATAATATACAATTATTACATAATATAAATGCGTACGGAATTTTTGCTATTTCGTACGCTCTTTTTTCTTCACGTGCAAATAGCAAAGAACTTCTCCGCGGTCATCTGCTTAAAAGTATAATCTTAAAACGGTGTTTGTGTTCGTGTTGAAAAAAAAACGAGAACTATCAATTACCTAAAACGTACGAAGTAATGCCGTGTATAAAAGCTCTGGCAAACTTCGTTTAAAAATTGCACGTAAATAAATATATGTATATATGTAAAAAAAAGAACAATGAGCTGCCCATCGATTAGGCGTACTCAAGTACGTACCCGTACTAAATAAATGACTTGATTATTGGCCTATACTAGATTTTTATAGGGTTTATAGTAAAAAAAGAAAAATATCACGAATTTAGCTAATGTACGTTGTGAAACAGATTGATTGAATTATATTTTCGATTTTCGGAACTTTATTTCACTTCTCAATCTTATCAAATTTGATCGTAAACGATAATATGAAACAAGAAGAAAAGTTTGCTTTTTGCTTCGTCTTTACTATTCATCTTGATCTACGATGCTTTTGTTTTATCAATTTAGCGTTCTACTAATAATATCACTCAATTTTTAACTCTTCAAGCTACAACAGCTTTTCAGTTTTCAATCTCGAAATTTATACAAGTCTTTAGTAAGCATATATATTTACATTTATATAAATTTTGAGATTCTGTGGACGTTATTGTAAATTGAAGAATTAATAGCATGCGCGTAACACTAAACCAATCCTCATTTAAATAATATACTGTTCAAAGGAATGTGAAAATTCCTCGAGTTTAGTCATTACAAACCGAAAGTGCGTGACTGTTCCGTCGTATATGCACTTCAAACACATTTGACTTGTCATTACTTTAAATTTCGAAAATGAGATATTTTCCGTTTTATTAATATCTTCCTCGAGATTGGAAATGTCAAGAGTGACTTTTGTTACAACAGCATAATTTTTTATAATTTCATTTAAATCGATCACACGCGCACCGTCCGCATGGAACATATCATATGTGGACCTGATTACAGAGAGAGAGAGAGAGAGAGAGAGAGAGAAAGAGAGAAAGAGAGAGTAAAAGCGTTTTCGCAAATAGCGTGCTTCAGGTTGTAGCGTCGAATCAGTAACGCAACTTCTGCGCTATCACTCTTCGCGTACTTTATACTATTTTATCATAAATAATTTTACACTGACTATATCTATTATGAGACCTCACCGTTTATCTCAGTAAGATTAATCTTCTGTCATTGTAAAAGAAGTACGTTACGATAATCTAATGTCATTTTAATGCTCAGAAAAAGAAAAGAAAGAACGATCAAAAGCGATATTGAGAGAGAAACCGAAGCTTATATAGATTATTATCATGTACACCAGGCAGTCTTAAAACCCCTTTCATCCTTTTCTCTTTACGAAATTGTCCTGTCTTATGGTACTACTTTCAGTAACATTGTCAGATAATTCTTAGACTCCTTTCATCTAACGTACAGCTCTATTCAGACGTCACAGGACATGCTGCATCGGGGACTTGCGAACATGCAAGTCAGCGTGGTACAAGATAGACTCTTCACCGATATCACCTGGGAGATGGTGAAGAGCGGCGATTATCGCACAAAGATACACCCAGTTTGCGATAGTAGTATCTGCGCGGATAGATCGGTCGAATCGCGCGCGTACAGCCGTTCTCTAATTAAGTAACGTGCCACTGACCGATCGACCTTGCTGAGAAGGATGACCATGGCGATGTCGTTGCACTCGCGCGCGCGTTAAATGAGAGTTCGCGGGTGAATAGCGTGTTCACCGCAACCATATCAGCTAGTGATTGTGATTGTAAAGATGCCACCTCTGCGTCTCCGCGTTCGAGTCGCACTTCTCCGCGGTGATGCCGCGCTGCGCGTGATATCTCGAGTCCACGCACACGGGGATCCTGGAGTGGCGTATCAAGCCGCCCTCCAAGTGCCGCCACTTTTGATTCTCGCTGCCGTCGCAGATTTGCATCAGCAGCGTCGTTCCCTTAGCGTACACCGGCAGCGTCAGACAGAGATCGTGGTGCTTGATCAGGCCGTCCTTCGTGAGGCCCCATTCCTGCGAAACAATTGCAAAAAGAAAAAGAAAGAGAAAGAAACATTAGCGTTTGTGCGAAGTCCCGGCGGCGATGTATATGCGATTTCTTGTCTAGAATACTTTTGCGGCTGAACGCTCACCTGGTTGCCGCCGGTGTCGTGGCAAGGATAGAGACCCACGTTTCCGTCTAGAAGGTGGCCCATGCTGTCTAAACAAGCGGTACCTTGCTTCAGAGAACCTCCCGGACCACCTTCGCTCGTAGGTATGACTAGTTCCGGGTACACATTCTTAAGATACCAGCTGAAAGGTTTGCAATGCAACCTCCGTTTTAACTCCATCCTGTCTTGGATGCTTCAACAGATAATTATTTACATGATTGATACGATTGATACGATTGAATTGCGTGTGTCGGTCAATAAACATTATCATTCTCATATTTTATGTATAAATGTGATATACATGTATTTTAATCCGAATCCGTGATAATTGAGTGTCGCGTTTTAATAGTCTGACTGAAACACCGGCAAGTTCTAACTTACTTCCCGTAAGGGATGTTTCGTGCCAGTGGTACGGCATTATAGTAAAACTGCTTGTAGTCGTCCATCCATACTTCGGCGGCGCGCCTCGTGTTTCGAGCAAACACGTTTCCACTACCTCCGGGGAACGAGTAAGGATGACGTTTACGAAATACATGGCCCACACGTGAGCAGGGGATAATCTCCAAACTGCCACCGCATTGCCACACGCGGAACGATATTTCTGAAAGAAGGTTACAAGTGCACGTAGTAAGTGCTAACATCAAACGTGAGAGAATAAACATCAGAGAAAAAATACACAATTATCCTCTTTAACTTCCTTTTATTCAATTCATATTGTTCTTTATATTTGTAAGAATGGCTTTTGTCGTGTGCGGTATAAGCGGGACGTAAGGGAGTGCAAATTTTTGCATAAATTTGTCTTGTACCTTAAAGTGTATATAAGCGAAATTTAGTAATTAGAAAAATGCCCTTTTATCAACTCTTTTGTCGAGTTATGTTAAGCTGAAATAATGTTAGCGTTTTATTCCCAAGGAGCTCAGCAACTTTTCTTCAGTGCGAAACGGGGTCGGAGTTATTTCTAACTTCACACTACCGACGTATATTGGTTTTCTTGTTATGTTTTTCCACGAAGCTTTTACAAACTACACACACAAGACAAGGTAGTTTCTGTCAAATACTTCGTTTTCTCATGTTTGAAATGTGCAATCTTCCAACGCACGTACTATCTTCCCTGACAAAGTTGGGAAAATAGCGAGGCGTGTCTCGTATATGTGCATTTAAATGTGAAGCACAGCGTGTTTCGTATGTGTGCGTTTAAATGTGAAACTTATGTACTAACTCGTACCAACAACCGAAACCAATTGAACGAATGTTAACAAATCTATCGATCGATCTTCCATCATAATGGACAAAATTAAAGAAGAAGTTATTCGTGTGTAACGAGAAAAAGCAGAAAATCGCGATTCCCCGTGAACTTTTGAATCGAAATGTTCCTGAGCATTTATGTTAGCATAGCTGTCGGATGTAGTGATGAATGAGCTAATATTTACGCCGGTACGAGATCCAATGCTTTTTAATAAAATTTAATAGGAGGCATTCATTAAAACTTGTTGAGAAATTATAACTTTCGACTATATTGATCCAATAAAAAGTTTACTTTCCTGCAAAATACTCATCGCGAGCTGCGCGTGCCTCATAAGAAAGTTTTTGTAACGAAGTACATCGACCACGTGCAATACCTTTCATAGCATTTGCAAGTTTCTTAAAGCGAAATAGCTTCCGACGTTATCTTTAGGAAGCGAATAATAACACCAGTGTAAAAAGCATTTTTATAAAACAACTAGATATTTCCTTGTCGCAAGTTTTAAATAGCGCAACATTGCCAATTAAATCTCGAATTAAAACATCGAAAAAAGATGATGTCTTAAAGCATCATTTTTTGCGAAGATCGAGAATTCTGAGAGTGTCTTGAATCAAACATCAGAGCACATCATTTTTAATTATATTTATCGGAGTGATTTTGATCGCATTTCCAAGCATTCTGTACGTAGAAGTAAAATTGTGTAGCGCCCTACCGAGATTTTCGCCGCCCCAAACGTCCATCTGTGTATCGTATTTGCCGAGTTTTTCGAAGTATGCTTTGTTGATGACAAACAGTCCGCCAGCAATCATAGGGGTCCTAATGGCTTGCGTCGGATCTTTTTGTCTTGCCTGACGTTCTATCTGGCTGAGGTATTCCCATTTAAAGACTAAACTCCAGTCGAACCCACCTCTGAGATCGGCGGATGCACCTGATGAAATGAAATAGAATTGTTTTGATGAAGACATTTTGTTTAGATAAAATGTAAAAATCAAAATATTCAATTATCCGGAAACGAGTCCCAATTTTTATTGAAAACATTTATATAATTGCGGAAATTCGTCAACACTCATGGTACGTTGCAGGCACTCACCGATATATTGAAAAGTATCCATACTGATTACATCGATTACAGGGCATACCACCCTCGTTGGATCTTCGGCTACCCTCTCTAGAAGAGGCTCGATCCAGTCGGCGTTACATTCGCAGTGTGAGTCCAAAAATGTCAATACATTCGCGGTAGCTGCGTCCGCACCCCGAACACGCGATCTCATCAGACCCTCCCTCTTTTCATTCCTAATCACGCGAACCTTGTGGATGCGGGACAATTCTTCGCCGTCCTCGGCTACAAACAAATCAATCTTTTATACTTCGCGATATTTTCTCTTATTATGCGTGTTAAGGGCGTGTGATGTTTACATATTTGTGAAAAAAAATAGTTACAATTTTACACGCCCTTCATTATGCTAAATAAATATAAACGCCCTAATATCGTTCTCTCATCGTTTCAAATATTAATTATTGTTTATATTTAATAATTATTATTTATGTCTCAATCAAGGCAGTCGAATGATTTCTCGTTAAGAAAAAATAAATCCCAAACTGGCATGTGTGTTTGCAAATTTACCGACATTACATTACTTACAATCGTATAAGCAATATCATAAATGACATATTAACCTCGAGCCGCCTACCAACGCCTAGTATTAAACGCGATATTCAATGTAATATTGAACATAATTCTCCGTAACTGAATATACATATAATTTACATTTTAATTGCGGTAAATTGCGTTTAATATTATATGTGATATTCTCTTCGTGACGAGTTGGCCCATGAGTAACCCATCTGTCATTCGCATTGCTTATATATATATATATATATATATATATAGGACTAATGATAATTTATATTTTCATATTGCCATCTTTTGATATATAAGCAGCGATTGAAATTTATGTATTAAATGACGCTTTTCTGTAATATAAGCTGCTAATGTTTACAAAAATGTTTAACTCTTGTGTTACGAATTTACGAATTTGGGACATATGTGTCCTGTTAGTAATGAAAGGGTTAATTTATTTTAAGTATATAAATAAGTAAATAGATGTAAAACTACTTACGGTGATCGCTGAAGTCATCCACTAGAATAATTTCTTTGATAAGATGTTCAGGACTTCTGTTCAGCACGCTACAGGGAACAGTAAAAATTTCATTACGAAAAAGCTTAAAGTTAAATTTAATGATATGTACTGAGATAGAAATCATATAATAATAGATAATACATATTAATATATATGTGATATAAATAGTAATATTAATACATACATGACAAAAACAATAAAATAAATATTATATGTAAATAAAATAGAAAAAGATATTTAATCTACTTGTTATCATGTATATCATTTACCATATCGCCATCGTGATGGGATTTTAAATGTTAATATTGATTGACATAAAATCGTCTTTCAATATAATAAGCTTTTTTTTTTAAATATAATTTAAAACTCAACGCGTAATTTCTTCTTTAATCACTGTCATTCATTTCTATATAAACTTTTCCAGTCGATTAACGTCAAGTAAACTGAGGCATCGAATTGACGGAAGAACAGAAGCTTTGGATTGTCCCATTGAATCTTTTATCAAAGTTTCAAAGACTTTACGCCACTTGCTCCTTGTTTGAACATTCTCGTATCGCCTCACACTGTTTCACTCGCGAGTTTGGTACAAGAGGATTGTTGCAAATAATTAGAGGGTTCTCCTTTTCATTAATTAAAACTCTATACTAACAATAAGTCGATAAGGAAAGATTAATTTCGTGGTCATCTTTTAAATCAATTTCTCACGTCAACAGCTTTATTAATTTCATTTTAACGAGATAATAAAAAAAATAATATTCCCTCAACTCCTTTGTCTATCTCGCTAAAAATACCAACATTTCAACTCTTGCTGAAAATTTTGACAAGGCGTAAAATTGATCGCGGAAAATTTCGTGGCGCATCTAGACGATGGTGTAGTGCGGTCTCATCGCGGTAATTAAGACTTCCTTTTAATTTCATCAACCGGCGCGATAGAGCCGATATATTTCCCTGACGCTGCCATGTTACGGTCTTAAATAAATTTTCCGACTCTCTCCTGCTTCCTTCTTCCGGTTCGACGAGAACTTCAAGCAACTTTTGCACGGAGGCTACCTCCGGCGAGTAATGTGGCTCGAACTTCCCTTCATTCCGTGGGGTGCCTCGCAGCGAAAAAATGTTTTAATTGATACGAAGACGCTTATGAGAAAAAACCAGTGATTTACGTCGTCGCGTCGTCTAGACTGAAACGATATGAAGAAAAAAGACAGAATTAGTTACGTGAAACATGGAGTGAAATATTTGAGACATTGGTAGAATCGATAAAATCAAAGAAGAAATATAACACGCTATATCGTGCAGAATATGTCTGTAAAATAAGCAACTGGAGAGGCGCCAAGTCCATAGACTACCATAGAGATTGAGTATTTCTCTGTGCCATTTTTTTATTCACTACTATTTGGAAAGAAAAGGAAAGATAGAGAGAGAGAGAGAGAGAGAGAGAGAGAGAGAGAGAGAGAGAGAGAGAGAGAGAGAGAGAGAGAGAGAGAGAGAGAGAGAGAGAGAGAGAGAGAGAGAGAGAGAGAGAGAGAGAGAGAGAGAGAGAGAGAGAGAGAGAGAGAGAGAGAGAGAGAGAGAGAGAGAGAGAAAAAGAGAAGTTCAAGATATTTTAATGATAAAAATAAAATACGTCCGCAAATTAAAAACATCAAATATAATTTTGTCATTCGAGAACCTTGTTTCTCAAATGAAGTTAATTTCATTAACTGCTCATATTTCCTACAAACAAAAAGTATAATTTTCAATATCTGCCCTCGAATATCCGTCAAAGATCTCTCGAATTCTTCGGTCCGTCGCGCACACGTGTGCGTGTATACGAGCGCATAATAAGTGCGAGGGATAAAACGATGGAACGACGATTAGAAAATTCCATCGCACGTCGTCGCCCACCGCCGGCTAGCATTGAGAATTTTCCTGCATCCCGTTGATGTGTCGGGAATGGAAGATTGCCGCGGCACGTATACTATCCACGACCGCGTGAGAATTTGTCGATCGTCAATTATTTTACATTTAGGAACTCGATCGTAACGACGCTAACATATTAATCAACATATTAACATGTTAATTACACATATCTCAATATCTTCTGCTTTTACATTTCATAAAAAAAATTTTTTTTTTTATAATGCTTTTATATTTTTATAACTGCGGAAAGCAGAAGTGTATACTTGAAACTCTGTCTGTTCGTGTAATTTGTAATGACGATATATAAATTATCAAGGAGAAACCAGAAGAAAAGAGCTGCCCATTTAAATTAGAAATATAACCACCTTGCATTTTATGCAAAGCACGATTGTTCCAAACTTACCTGACGACGGTTCTGAGTAGCGTAGACCGTGCCTCATTGTGGAAAGTAATTATAACAGAAGTCGGTGGGAGATCCCGTCGCCATTGTTTCATCCTACACCTATAACGAGAAAATAGCGTAGTTATAATAGTTGTTCGGACACGTAAAAATGATTCGATGAAAATACAACAAAAGTGAAAATTATTACGCAAATTGAAAAAATTATAATTCAGCTGTATTTTGTATCGTATTCTGTCTGTCTGTCTGTGCTTGGATGTGCGATTTTCTAATTTTACAACATTGGTTACCGAATGACAACTGCCTGCGAAAGCGAGAAGAAAGTGGTATCTCCAAACAAATTCTATGGAAAACTGCAATTGTACCGTGAGACTGACGATATGCTTTTTAATATCTCGTGCAAACTAAAGAAACGATCATATTAGTATTTCGATATCGCGCTGCGTAATAAATTCCTTTTTCGACATCATATTGGACCCTGTAATTTATTATTCAAATTGTTTTAATATTTTGTCTAAGTTTTTTCTTGATGTTGTTCGCATGCTAACGTGCCTGTGAATTTATTTTACAAACACGTTATTCGATTCCATGCTTGGTGACGGATAACACACTGCAATGGAATGCTTCAATATTGGCAACTCGATTGATGCGACGAATTATCGGTAAATATTGATTGGTTATCGCGGTACATCCAAATTCCATACACGGTTTCACTTACACGTGTCCTAGATTAATTAAATCTCCAGCCTAAAAAGCTCTTCAGTCGTATTTTCTATCAAATCTTTTTCAGAAGAGCAGTATTTAGGTACGAATGATATTTCAAGAATAAATATGTAAATCAAATTTTGTATATTATTTTATTTTTCTATATAATTTTGTTAAACGACCTAACATTTAAAATTTGTTAACATATCAATAATCTGAGGTATTTCCCATTTAATAGTAACAAATATATGATCACGGTACGTGGACTTATTTGGAAAAGTAGCGCTTTCAGCGATATATAACGTTATTGAAACTATTTTGACATTAAGTTCCTTTGTCAATGTGACCCATTAAAGAATATTAATTTAGGATCATTTGAGTATTCTCGCCAAAATTCATGTTAATAAGGTGTGGGTGGTTTTCGAAAGTTACCCTATGTATCCTTTATTATTTCCACTTCCTTTTAAATTGCATTTTAAATACAATCCGTTAAAAAAACATAAAACTGACTGATTTTGAATTATAAATCGAAGATTCCTATTGGTTCTTAATATAGATCAATTTCCATTTCAACGTCAACACAAAAATCGATACGTTTCGCCTCTAGGGAACCGTGTTAATTTGTTTTTATTCCACGGAAGAACGATTTCGTATTTATCGAAAGCGCAGTAATTTCCCTTTTATGACGCTTTTCGTTTCAAGTTGCTACGACGTCTAAAAGAGGAGAAATTGACGTTTGCATCGATTCGCGATCTCGATCATCCTGGTAAGACTCCGCACGCTGCGGAGTCGGCGTGCAGAGTCACGTGCTGCTCGACACGGCGCGGGATGAAAAACAATAGCCACATTCCGCAGCCGCGCCTTCAGAGGTCATGTCTCACATTGTACGTGACGCAGAGACCGCCGCGGCCTTGCCCCCACTCCACGCGGCCAGCATGGCCGTTCTGACCACGTGTTCTTGACCACGCGGTCATTTGCCTCATGTCGGTACGACAAGGACAGCATGAAAACAAACTACGTCGACGCGAGAGTGAGCGTAGTATCGCTCTGGCGCTAAATCAGGCCGAAGCGCAATGTTAATCTGATATATCATGCCGTGACATTAAATTATTGTAACTCAGTAATTATCGATTGAGCAACATAGAATGGAGCAACATAGAATGGAAAGCAATCTCTTTGACGCGAGCTCCCGCATGCTGTCTATGTTGCTCTTTTATCGCTGACTCGAAAGAATCGAGTTGTGATCGATAAAAGCACGGCAAACCGTTCACATGAGCAATACGCAGTCTCTCTATTTCATTCGCGATAAAATCTTCCAGGCATCGTCTTTCTTCTCGTCCATTGTAGTAGTAGCGAGATTAATATTGTTGTCCGTAATATTACTTTTGAAGGAGAATGGCTGCGTGTTTATCGGAAGCATGGCAGAGTTTCAATTTCCCAATGGGTTTGATTTCAATCGTCGCTTCTTCTAGAAACGAAGCTGCGCTCTCGATCGGTATGACATTCCATCGTACTGAAGCGGAATTAATGACACCTGCTGAATTCTGTAACGCTGGGATGAAGCGTAATCGTGTTATGTAGACGTACGCGATAACGCGATAACGGGTCTTACGCTTCCGCGTTATCAGTTGGCCGATCAACCACGCGTGCTCAGTGGAACTTTAAAAGGCTATAACACGTGCATGCGGCGCAGGCTGCAGCGCGCTCGTCGATAGCGAGTGTGACGAAACTTGAAAGGACTACAACTTTGGAAACGAATCGACGTAGATGTGAGATAAGAACTAATCGTTGTGCCATCTCGCGCACGTCTGTGTTGCTCTCGATGAGACTATCTTCCTTCGTTTGTGACGTTGAAGTCGTTGTATTCTTTCTTTTATCCCTTCCAACGTAACAACAAAGAGATTAATATTATTGTTGCAGATCGAAGCGAAGGAATGATTAAAAAACTTAACTTATAAAAGATAATAGAAAATAATATGTGAGAAGTAAATAAATGAAATAAATAAATAAAAGAGCTAAATATCTCGATTAGATTTTTTCTTATTTTTTTTTGCTCCTGCGTGTTTCCTTCAATTCTGAAGTATTCTGTATAGGAAAAGTATAATTCTCTTCCATAGCATTTGGAAGCTCGACATTCGTACAATTTACCCACGTTTCAATATATCTTTGCGATTTTGCAAGATAGAGACGCTAGTCGTTGGGGGCACGCATTACGCGATCGATAAAGGATATGAGAATACTTTCTATCATTTTGGGTAAAATTTACTGCAGATTTCACTTTTTTCATCATAACCTAGAGATTTTTATGACGTCTTTCGAGAGATATATGTCTCGAGAATTTTATATTTGATCGTGCTTACTCGTAACGTAAATTAGAGACGAAGCTTTGTAGCCGTCACATAAATTAGCTTCGAATATTTGCAACGGTATTAGTTTGCGTTATATTCATAAATTCTCGCTGTACCGCATCCGCAAAGACATTTGGCTCGAAAATCGTATTGTCCACGTATCTTCACGTAGACGGACCCAAAATGCTGGTGGTCGAAGTAAACACCGATACAGATTAAAGTTACTTCGTGTAATTTATTTTCTTTCAGAACGCATTTCTGAATTTATTCGTTAAAATACACATTACTTTGAACGGCGCTGAAAAGTTTTCAATAAGAAAAGAAAGAAAGTTGAGTTTAAGAGTTGCTGGCGCTTTTTAATTTATGCAAAACAATATGCGAGTCAGCAAAATAAACCCTTATTTCAATTTCGATTTAATTATCGAGAAATTTCAAGTTTTCACTTGAATTTTCCGTCAGCGTACCGTATCCACATTTTACGTTTTACGCCCGTAACGATATCGAATCCTTAGTTAATCTATTAACAACGCACAATGTCGCGGGAACAATCGGACAATTTCATTTAGTTCGCAGTCGCGCATTTGCTTCGCGAGCTCGCAACATTTTTCTCCGTATTCATTGTCGGAGGATGGAAATAAGGAGAGATCGTAAGAGCCACAATCGCGATGCTGCGGCCGTAATGTATCGCATTCCGTGTCTGCGACGAGGCGTCGCGCCGGGAGAACGATGGAAACTGCCTAAGCGCTAGGAACAGCGCTTAAACGGAGGAAATAAGAAGGCAGAGAAAGAAATAAGAAGACGATCACTCGGGGCACTCGGGGGCACTCGAGGCCGGAGTAGAAGGTACATAAATGCGGCCAGACGACCAGAACGATCCCAATATGTCAGCCCCTCTTTCCCGAGATAAACTCGCGGGACGTGCGGCGAATGTATTTACCGTGTAGGTGCATAGGTGCGCGTGAGTGCACTTTTTCGCGCCGTCGCGCTTCAAACGCGAGATCGCGAGAAAGTTTCGCCGGAAGTTACCGCCTCGTGCGCGAGTCATCATCGGCCAGGAAGGAATGACCGATGACTGCGTGTGACTGTGATTTATTCGTCCGAAGGCGGACTCGCGTCTGTCGAAGTCAAATGTCCGCGCTGATAGTCTGCCTGCGTGTGCCGTATGTGACACGTGATCTTTAAACGTGTTTCGCACGTGCGTGCTGTTCCATCGCGCACACGCGTGCGCGACGCGTTGAAGAGAACTTTCACAGCTCATCCCTCGTGAACGGCTGTGAGTTCCTTGCCGATCCTGTTCCCGGTCAATTAATCATCTTCTGCAAGGCGATCTATCGAATTATATAAGCTAATTTAATTGATAATCGAAGTCACACATACGATGACACGTTTGTGCAATACGCGTTGCCATCTGAAGAGCAAATCGTTACGTGTCACAAGTCCGAGTTCGACTTCTCTCATTACGGTGTTATCCCTCGTGTAATCGAGTGCCTCGGGGTGGTAGACAACCGCGGTAATGAGTAATTTACACACTCATCAGCAAGCATGCTTATTCACCTTCGAAGCGCCTTCGCTCGAACGTCCCGCCGCTGCCACGGCGCAGCGGTGCGGGTATCGACAAATTAATTCGGGGGACCATAATTCCGCATTAAACCGGGCTAGTCTCGGCGACGACATGTTTGTCGACAACGAAATTGCACGCGAGCCTTAAAGCGAGTCCGGCAGATGAGACGGATCATCCGGCCGGTTTAATTCGAAACTTCAATTTAGGATCCGCTCTCCGCGCGCTATATCCGCTAAAGTGGATAAAGCGGCTGGCCCGCGCGATTCCATTGGACGCGCGATCGCATATACGATGTTTCACGAGCACACATGTACGTACATGTTCGCGCGGATTGACCATTGCCGGAGAACGCGTCCTACGAGAGAGCGGAGCGCAGCTGCGAAAGCAGTACAAGCCGATGCAATTAAAACAAACTAATGCCATCATTGTTCCCGTCGAAAATGTTGATCGATCTGAAGCGACCTAAATCGATCTGAAGCGACATTATA